ATCTATCGAGTATTCGGAATTATGAATTACACATTATGAATTCATTGTAGTAATATATTTAGTGAACAACAGATGATTATTACTCCAGTATCCGGTAGTACTCCTAGTGTGTCGTCGAGCGCAGTAACGTCTGACATTAATAAATATTCAGTGCCACCGCATGACATCTTATTCATTACACATGTATAATAAAAAGTGTCTTAAAGCAGAAGAGAAGACAAGAAAAAAGGACTAATGAATGTTTTTTTTGCCTTGGAAACTTCTACGTTTATTAAGCCGATTCACTATTATTTGGCATTGACGGACTACAAGGTGTTTATACATGATCGAGTCCTCAGAAGAATAAATGAATGGAAATAAAAAAACAATAGGAGCGTAAAACATAGTTTTTTTCTTTGAGATCCCCAAAAAGAATTTGTTTTTCTTCCATACGAACCGAATCCGACTCACATGTTGATGTATCATGATGGAGATTAGAGCAAGAAACTATGTAGTTTAACGCATTCTGCAAAATGCAGCTATTTAAAAGTAAAATAATAGGTAAAGTTTTATTAAAATTGTTATGAGTAGACTTTAAAACATTTAAAAGACGAAAATTTCAAATTTTCAGTTAACTTTTCGAAAAATAATTGACATCGACAAATAAAGTTTTCTTGAAATTTAAACAAATAAAAATTTGATGAATTGAAACGACGAAAATCTAAGACTTTAGATGGTTCTTTTTCTATCTAAATGGTTTAAATGACAAAGATTGAAGTTGGATTTAACAGTTTTTAAATTCCGACTTTATGTTCTCAAACGAGAAGACACATGAACGCCACCCATTTTGCACCATATAATGGGTATTCATCATATCAGCATGATTCTCTTGTTGAGTCCCAGCGATAACATCACATTTATTAATATCATCGGTTATCTCAATTGTATCTGTATGCAACAGCGGTGGATGATTGCGAGAATCGTTGTAATTCGTCGTTGTAGACGTTGAAATGTAATTTTTGTTCGAGTTTTGGTAATAAACCAGCAAAGAAAACGATAAAAACAAAGGAAAACTGAGAAGCAAAAAGAAAAGCACTGAAGCATTTATATGGACACATAAGTCATTGTGTAAGTTAGAAAAAAAACAACGAAAACCATTCGAGAAGTCGGATGTGGGGTGGATAGATATGCGTACGAGTGTACATGTGAATGCAGATATTGACCTCATTGACACGCTTGTAGCAACTACACTCCAAACCACCAACCGATATCTATGCCCATACTCAAGTCCCGCTCACACCCATACCCCAATTTGTTTATTATCAGCTGAAACTAGTCAAATAATCGATATTTATCATAGTTTTATTCGACCATCAATTAGAAATAAATTGAATGAATTATATATTTCGATAGCCGATATTACTCAAGATATTGTCGATAATGTTCTAATATTCGATATTGTATCGAAGAAAGTTCAAACATTTTTAGCTAAACATTCATTAATCTCTGCAATAATTAAAACAAAATAATTTGAGTCGATCTGATTTTATTAATCATTTTGTTAATATCAAACAATTATATATGGAATATTATCCAACAACACGAATTTGAGGTAATGGAAGATCTGTTAAAGAAATTGAATCTCGAATTAGATAGCCACGACCGTGTCCTCTCATTTGCGAACATAAAATCGAAATTAAAAATCTGTTAAATTTAATTTATTCAAATTTAAAATAAACTTATGTCTAAAATTTTCGGTTTTCAAATTTAAAAAAATTTACTGATATCAATTTTAAAACAAATTAAAGTTTCAATTATATTTTTCAACTTGCTGAAATTTATAGAGTTCGCTAAAGATTGAGTTTCAGTATTTCAATTTAACGATCTGCAATTTGTAGAGTGCGCTAAAATATAGTAATGCTTTTTATTATGCTTAATTGACAACGATTTATAGAGTTCGTCAGACATCATTGTTACTATGAATGCCATCAGCATCTTTTGATTTTGAACAAACCATATAATCATGTTGGTAAAATGGGATCGGGCACTGAATAGAGATAATTAGTTGGGATATGAAAGCGTCCATGCACAAAAATCATAAATACAAAAAATGATATTCTGAACAAGACGACTCAGAAATATAGATGTTAAAGAGTGTCTTCTCTTGATAAACACAATTTGATTCGTCCACATTACAATCTCAACAAACATCAAATTATTACGACAAGTTATGACACAGTCTCCTTGAAAACTCGCTTTGTCTGTAACTGAAGTCATGCTTAGTTTAGCCCAAATCCACGATCCTTGCTCGTGCATTATCAGTATCAGTTTAGCAATAATAAAAGAAAAACCCGGCTAATACATTCTATTTTTCACTTCCGTTGAAACTCTTCGGAGCTAGATTCAAAGAAAAATTTTAGTTCAACTAAAATCTAGCGTTCTCTACAACTTACATCCATAGTACTAATTTTAAAAAACTTCTTCGATCAAAAACTTACGTTCTCTACAAATTGCAGTAAATATCTGAATATTAAAAAGTGTTTATTGTCAAAAAAGTAACGACCTCTACAAATTGTAGCATACTTAGAAAATAAACTAATTTTTATAAAAAAATTTTCAAAAGTTGAATATAAATTTTAATCGTTTTACAACAAATTAATAAAAGTATTAAATTTAAATCAAATGAAACGAAATTTCAAAACATTTGATTTATTTTAAATTTATTTTCTTCATGTTCGCAAATGAGAGGTAGCCCTGGACGACATCATTCCAGTATCGATAATACGACAAATATAATAAAAATAGCAGAATGCTTCATCAAAAATCGCAAGCTACTTAAACTAACATGGGAAAGAAATGAACTAGATAATAATTGTCTTAAGCATTAAATACGGATGGTTCAACATGCTAGAAATATAGATCTATTCTGCAGAAAGCAAGCTATTAGTACTAATTTATCTCTCCATTGTTGCGCATAAACTTCATAAATTAGATCGTATTTATTGGCTGTCACTTTTGTGAACACAAGACTGATTCAAAATTTGCTTGAAGATTTTCTTTTATAAGAATAAATATTTTAAATAAAACGCGATAAAATTTTAGCATTGAGTACTCATGTTGGTGGTATTCGTTCAAGTTCATATTGATAAATCATACGTCTCCGCAGCGTTCATTGACTTCAGATGAATTTGACCCATTTTTGGCGACTTGTTGGATAGTTTTTCAAAAAAATCAATACTGCAAAGCAGAATGTGTGGACGACAACAAATAATAAAACCTAAAACTGTTTGAAAAATGACTTACACTTTAGAGCCCACAGTGATATGCTAATCAACTATTAACGATATCTAGCGGGAAGTAAATGTAGTTGAGAATGAGTGGTTCTTATCTCGACTCCAAAGGTAACTCTACGCTGTATGATTGCTTCTACTCGAACAAAAAAACATTTTCAACATGCATTGTGACTCAATCCAACTATTTCCGAGTTTTTATTATTCCTACTTGAATCATCCAAAATGATATTTTGCTTTCATAGTTCTTAATTCACAGCTATGAATTGAATATGAATACTCATAACGGGTCTTTCTTTACCAGCTATCAGTTACATTTAGCTTCGAATGATTAGATCCATTGTCCTTGAAAAGTCCCATATGAAAGTTCATCTTGTACATAATGTTTCGAACTGTTCCCCCACCAAACAGTGCGAAAATGCGTTACAAGAGGATCAGTGATGCACGGAAACGGGAAACAATCAAATAGATAGAATCATTTTCACCTGATACCATCAAGTGATGATTATATTATTGAATTGTTTTTCTTTCAGAAAGAAGCCATAATGACTCGTACTAACGATATGAATTCTGTTGCTGCTATAGATTTCCAAGACGCAGCCAATGTTTACGATCAGGCGCGACCATCCTATCCAAATGAGGCTATTCAGTTTATCAAATCACTCTGTCCTACAACAAAATGCTCTTTCAATGATATATCACAAAAGAGAAATAACGTGCTTGGGTAAACAAAGAATTATACTTGACAACTGCAAGAAGTTAAAAGTCAATATTTGATATTCGTATATTTATTTTTAGTTATGATACATGACATATATTACTCGAACAACTGAGTGTATGTGGTTGAGACAAAAAAAGTTTAGATTGAGTTATTTTGATACTAAAGTAGTTAGGAAAAATAGGCAACTCTTGACATGATTAGACATTCTATCGCTTACATCAGTTGTCGCAAGTCAATATTTTTGTAAATTAAAGTTAATAATCGATCTCCGATTTTCTGTGAACCCTATCAGGATTCTAAACAAGATCAACCACGAAGTAAGTGTAGATACAGATTTATTGTGTGGATTTTCTCCTAAACTACGCTCATACCCAGATGCACACCCAGAATTTCAATCTGTGCATCAATATTTTTCCTATGTTCAGATATCGTATCCAGTGACGCAGCCAGGGGGGGGATTATGGGGATCGATCCCCCCCCGAAAGACCGAAATGCCTGGAGGGGGGTACAGGCTAATTCGTTTTTGCTAGTCAAAAAATGCCTTTTTTCTATTGCGGTCCCCCCCCCAAAAAAAATTTCTGGCTGCGTCACTGATCGTATCAACAGATCGAAAAGTACTGATTGTTTGTTTTGCCATTCATAGTAGTTATTTTGTACTTCATTCATTTCGCAGTATTGTCTATTGTATAAAAAATGAATGGATCAAACTACATGGAGTCATTTTTTTGTGCATGGTTTGTGATATTTTGATTCAAAATAAAGTAAAATAAAAAAACTGCGTTTCGATCAAATTTCTTTTTTATCTGAATGATGATTGAGTTAGGTTGAAAACATGTTTTGTACGTGCATTGATAGCATAAGCTATTTGACACCATAAGAATGTTGAAAAACGATAATTGTATCACTTTCACTGTATAAAGTATAACTTTTCTTCTCTACTGTAATAGTGATCGCAATTGAAGCTCAAAAAGCATTACTTTCTAACTTGAGTCAACGAACAATTTTAGAAAATGTATCCTGTGTTGTGTCTTACATTTATGTTGTTGACAGGTAATATTACAAAAGTATTACTACTGCAGATTTGAATCCCATGTCTTTTACTTGGTGAATCATTCTCTCTCTCAAGAAAACATGCTTTCTTTAAAGAAAACCATGTCGTTTGGATTATTTGGTTTCGAAAAGTATCTTTCAAAACGGAATTCTTATACTGTGTTGGATAGGGAAAACAGAATTCTAATATATATATATATTCGCATCATTATTACTCTACCTAGGGCAAATTAGATTTCGACAAGCTGTTGCTACGGCTGTAGTAACAACAATCGATAATTCTTCCGATGAATTAGTCAAGTCTCGACTAGAAAATGGTCGTTTCATTAATTCATTCAATCCTCAATATAAATTGCCTCATCTAGGGCATGTTTTAATCTGGAAGATCACTTCATCAGACAATACACGATTGCCATCTAATAAAAAAGATCTTGATAAAATTTTACCCATTATTCGACATGAAAAACTTGAAGAATTATATTTAACAAAACCTGGTCTACGATTTATCTGGATTGGACATGCTTCATGTTTTATTCAAATGAACAATTTTCGATTCCTTGTCGATCCAGTTTTCAGGTAGATGCTTACTATCTTTCTCTCTCTTGTATTCTTTTAGAAACAAATTGAATGATTCTAGTGAACGATGTGGTATAACATCATTTATCGGACCAAAACGTTTCCGTCCACCAGCATTAATAATAAATGATCTACCTGATGATCTCGATGCCATACTTATATCACACAATCATCCTGATCATCTCGATTATCCTAGTGTAACAAGTTTAAATAAACGTTATGGTGAACGATTAACTTGGTTCTGTGGCCGAGGCAATCGACAATGGTTTCTTAATAATCATATAAAAAATGTTATAGAACTCGATTGGTGGGAAGAATATTATTTTTCAGTAAGAAAAGATTCATTCTGAAAACCTTTCTTTTTGTGATGTTTATCTTTGACTTTGGAATTTAGAAAAAAGAAGTCAACATTGCTTTTTGCCCAGCTCAACATTGGTAATGTTCATTAATTTTTTCATAGCGATAAAACATTTTTCTACTTCAGGAGTCGTCGTAGTGCATTCGATTTAAACAAATCTTTGTGGGGTGGTTATGCTGTCTGGGATACTACACACAGATTTTACTTTGCCGGTGACACAGGTTATACTCATAACATTTCAATTTTTCGACAAATTGGCAAAAAATATGGTCCATTCGATTTAAGTGCTATACCTATCGGTACATATGAACCAAAGTGGATAATGCAAGCTCAACACGTGTCACCAGATGAAGCTGTTCAACTACATATTGATGTTCAATCAAAAAACTCGATCGGTATTCATTGGGGTACATGGGCAATGGGAAATGAATATTTTATGGAACCACCTCAGAAACTTGCTCAAGCAGTTCAAATAAATCAACTTGATCCATCATCATTTGTTGTAGTTAAACATGGTGAAATTTTTGATTTACCTTAGTAATACCAATGCAACGTATACAACTTGTTGTTGTTCATTTGTTTTAATGTCTTTATTTTTCATTATGATGATTAAAGGTCGAACCATCTAAGATTTTGAAAAAGGCACTAGGAGAGTGTCAAAAAGATGTGAGGTAATACACAGGAAGTATTCTTATCCTACAGTGCTTACAGAGAGAAGAAATAAAAGAATGAGAACAATTATCGTTTCAAGAATGAAAAAATGATGATTCAATCAACAACGGCTATAGTCGTTCTCGATAAATTAGAGCAGGAATTAAAAACAAGATATTGACCATATCAAGATAAACTGACAAGAATGATTCATATTATGATAGTCGTTGGAAATTAAATTCGAAACCACTAATGACTTATTTCTCTAAAATCAAAGATATCTGTTCATGGAGAGAAAAACAATAATTGATACTTCCCGTCAAAGTCGATTCGATTTTGATATCTGTTGTAGACTAGGCCTTCAAATAACAAATACAATATAATTTTGAACACTTGATATTCGATGTGTGTGTCAACATTTATGCCTCTCATTTATAGGTAGATCTGAAGACAAATGATTTTTACACACAATGTTCTTTTCAAGACTCTGTCGATATTTATATCTTTTGAATAGTTTGATTAAGATATAGTGATAGAACTGAACATGTTTGATGATGAATAGATTTAAGCCTAATTCGAAACACATCGTATGCTGATATGATTTATATCCCTAATGTTTTTAGAAAATGCCCCTGCATTCAACAAATTTTCAAGTAAGATGCACGTAATGCAAAACTCGAGCAGAAAACAAAACTCAATGAATTAT